TTATTAATAAGCCTAGGCATATGTATATATATTTTAACAATCCAGTAAACTTACTCAGTTTCGTAGTTATATGTGTACTGTACTTATTTGTTATAAGTGGAGTCATAAAATATGTAACTTTTTGAAAGTGGCTTTTTTTACTCAGCGTAATGCCCTTGAGGTTCATCCATGTAATGTGCGTATTAATAACTTGTTCATATTTATTGCTGAGTAGTATTTCTCTCTATGGGTGTACCATAGTTTGTTTAACCATTCACCTGTGGAAGGATATTTGGGTAGTTTCCAGTTTGAGGCTATTATGAATAAAGCTGCTATGAACGTTTATATGTAGGTTTCTGTGTGAACATCTGTTTTTATTTCTGTGAGATAAATACCCAAGCGTGAAAATGCTGAGTTGTACAAGTCCACTTTCAGTTTTAAAAGAAACGGCCAAACTATCCTCCAGAATGACTGTACCATGTTTTTTTTTTTTTTTGTATTAATCATTAGCAATGTAGGAATGATCCAGTTTCATCACGTCTTCACCAGCATTTACTGTTATCACTTTATTTGTTTTATTTTTTTTAATGTTTATTTATTTTGAGAGAGCGAGCACGAACAGGGGAGGGGCAGAGAGAGATGGAGAGAAAGAAATCCCAAGCAGGCTCCGTGCTGTCAGCACAGAGCCCGATGTGGGGCTTGATCTCACAAACTGAGATCACGACCTGAGCCAAAATCAAGAGTCAAACACTTAATCGACCGAGCCACCTAGGCACCTTGGTTAATACTACTACTAATATTATTAATAATAATAGTGATAATATCAATAATAATAAAGTGATTAATCACTTTAAAAAACATTTTTGTTAAGCCATTCTGATAGCTTATCCATCTCCAACGAATTGCTTTTGCACCTTTGTCAGAAATCAGTGGGGCTTCAAATGTCTATCGGTGGATGAATGAAGATGTGGTGTATATACACAATGGAATACCACTTGGCAATGAGAAAGAATGAAATCTTGCCATTTGCAACTACGTGGATGGAACTGGAGGATATTATGCTAAGTGAAATTAATCAGTTAAAGACAAACTTCATATGACTTCACTCATATGAGGACTTTAAGAGACAAAACAGATGAACATAAGGGAAGGGAAACAAAAATAATATAAAAACAGGGAGGGGGACAAAACAGAAGAGACTCTTAAATATAGAGAACAAACAGAGGGTTACTAGAGGGGTTGTGGGAGGGGGGATGGGCTAAATGAGTAAGGGGCATTAAGGAATCTACTCCTGAAATCACTGTTGCACTATATGCTAACTAATTTGGAGGTGAATTAAAAAAAAAAAATCAGCAGGGCTTATTTGTGTAAATCTATTTCTTGGTTCTTTGTTCTATTGTGTGTATTTTCAGCGTACAGATCCTCTTCATATTTTGTTGGATTTATACCATTTCATTCATACAGTATTTCATTTTGGGGGAACAGGTTTCCACTTATTTGTTGTTCACATATGGAAATGGGGTTGGTTTCTTGTGTTGATTTTTTTTTTTTTTTTTTTTTTTTTTTTTTTTTTTTTTTTTTGGCAACCTTGCTAAACTGTCTTACAAGTTCTAGGAGCTTCTAGATTTCTTGGGGTTTTCTTTATAGACAATCATGTCATCTAAAATAAGGGCAGTTTTATTTCTTCTTTTCCAACTTGGGTGCTTTTTATTTCTTTTTCTTGCTTTATAATTATGGGTATCTAGTACTGTGTTGCCTAAGAGTGATGAGAATGGACAGCCTTGCCTTTTTCCCAGTTCAGAAGTATTCAGTCATTCACCATTAAGTATGTTGTTTGCTGTAAGGTTTTTTGTAGGTGTTCTTTATGAGGTTGAAGAAGCTCCCCTCTTCCTAGTTTGCTGAGAGCCTTTTATTATGAATGGTGTTGAATTTTTTAAGGATGTTTTTCTGTGTCAGTTGATACATGATTTTTTTCCCCCTTTGGCTTGTCGATATAATGTGTTGCAGTGATTTCTTTTTCTTTCATAATGTGTCATCAGCCTCACATACCTGGAATACATGGTGCTTGGTTGTGGTGCATTAGCTATTTTGGGTTCAATGTGTTAATATTTTGTTAAGGATTTTACAGTTAATTTCATGAGAGACATTGGTCCGTAGTTTTCTTAATTCTTTGATGTCCTTGTCTGGTTTTGGTATTGGTAACGACTGGTTTCATAAAATGGGTTGGGGGCTGTTCCCACTTCTTCCATTTCTAGAAAACATGTAAAATGACTGTTAATTCTTTTGTCAGTGTTTGGTAAAGTTCTGGGGATTATTTTTTTAAGAACTTTTCAATTACAAATTTGATTTCTTTAATAGAGTTACTATTATTCAGTTTATCTAGTTCATCTTGGCTGAGTTTTGATAGTTGTTTTCAAAGAATTGGCCCATTTTTTCTAAATTGTGGAATTAGGAACAAAAGTTGTTTGTGGTATTCTCTTTTTTAAAAATTTGAGGTAAAAGTCACATAATAATATCCACCATTTTATTTATTTTTTATTTATTTATTTTTTAATGTTTATTTATTTTGAGAGAGAGAGAGAACACACTTGTGCCAGTGGGGAGGGGCAGAGGTGTGGGATGGTGGGGCTAAGCAGGCTCCATGCTATCAACATGGAGCCTGATTCGGACTCGGTATCATGAATCTTTTTTTTTTTTTTTAATTTTTTTTTTTAACGTTTTATTTATTTTTGAGACAGAGAGACAGGAGTACGAACGGGAGGGTCAGAGAGAGGAGACATGAATTCGAAAAAAAAAGGCTCCAGGCTCTGTCAGCACAGAGCCCCGACGCTGGCTCCAACTCACGACCATGAGATCGCGGACTCCGAGCCAAGTCAACTTGACTGAGCCACCCAGGCGCCCCTCGGTATCATGAATCTTGAGATCACAACCTGAGCTGAAATCAAGAGTCAGACGCTTAACCCACTGAACCACCCAGGTGCCCCAAAACCCACCATTTTAAAAGTATGCATTTCAGTGGTTTTTTTTTTAGTATAGTCACAGGATTTTGCAACCTGTCTAAAGCCAGAACATTTTCATTATCCCAGAAAGAATCCTGTTCCTCTTAAGCAGTAACTTTCATTGTCTTCTTTTCCTAGCCCCTGGCAACTAGTAATATATTTTCTGTATGGATTTGCCTGATTTGGACATTTCATATAAATGGAGTCATACAATTTTGATTGGTTTATTTCACACAGCATAATGGTTTCAAGGTTAGCCATGCTGTTACATATATCAGTACCTGCTCGTTGGCTCGTGGTCCCATCATTCTGACCTCTGCTTCCGTTATCTCTTCTTCTCTGACTCTCGTGCCTCCCTCTTATAAAGAAAGACCCTTATAATTACATTGGGCCCACCCAGATTATCCAGGGTCATCTTCTCATCCTTAATTTAACATAATAACACATAATATTCTTGCCATATAAGGTAACATTCACAGGTTTCAAAGGTTAGGACATGGACACTTTGTGGGGGACCATTATTCTACCTACCACATGGACATTAGATTTTTTGTTATTATCCACTGTTCCCTGAGCTTCTATTCTTTCTCTTTTTCTTTCTTTTTGGTTTTTTTTCAGTCCATTTTCTCTCTGTTGTTTAGATTGAGTATACTATTGATCTTGTCCTCAAGTTCACCAAATTTGTCCTCCATCATCTATTAGTATCTAATTAGTATCTAATAGGTACTATTAAGCCTATCCAGCACTTTTTTATTTTGGAAATTGCATATTTCAGTTGTACACATAATTTCCATTTGGTAGTTTTAAAAAAATAACTTCTGATTCTTTGCTAAAATTTTCTATTTTTTTATTTAGGGGAATTCTTAATTGCTTATCAAAGCATTTTTATGATGACTGCTTTAACATTTTTGTCGGATAACTCCAAATTGTGATTCACTTTGGTGTTGACATCAGTGTGGTTCTCTCTCTCATTCAAGTGTGTTTTTCCTGATTCTTGGTGTGCGATTTAAAAAAAATGTTATCCTGGGCATTTAAGATATTAATATGAGGCAACTCTTGATCCTGTTTAAGTCTTCTGTTTTAGTAGGCAATAACTCCATTTAGGTTTAGTGTGTAGGTCCTGGCCTGCTTTTGTGCGATCATATGCTCTATCACTGAACTATACCCCCTCTGGCCTGCTTTTGTGAGCTGGGTAATTCCTATGATAATTTAGTTTTCAGACTCTGCATCGCTATTCTCTTCTTTATTATTCTGGCATCACAGGAAGTCCTGCTTGATCTCTACAGGCGCTGCTTGCGCTGACTGGTGGGTGTGGGTCCCCATCTCTGCTACTGCTAAGGGCAGATTGCCTGGACATTGCCCCAGGTGGGGCAAATCTGGTCTGCTTCTGTCTGGGGCTGGGGTGGAGACCCTGCTGATGCTGATGCTGTGATGACTGGGGATCCTCCACTGTCCGGGATAAGGACTGGGGAGTCTGTCTTCCCTCTAGGTCTCTGCTAAGCTTCCCCCTTCACAGTCTTTGGCCAAAAAGCAAGATTTTCTTGTTTGTCCGTCTGTGTTGGTGGTTCCCGGTTTCAGGCTGTTCTTGTGCCCAGCCATGGATATATGGGAGATAAAAGGAAAACCCAATGAACTCACAGTGGTGCTTTTCCTCACATCCCAAGGCCCCTGTCTCATCCACCTTCTACTTTTAGGGTCATCTTATGATTGTCTGATGAATTCTTTTAGGGTATTCAGTTGTATTCAGAAGAGAGGAGCAGGGAAATGTGAGCCTGTGCCATCATACTCAGGAACTGGACCTGTAGCCTTTTGATTCTTCCTCCCTGCCAATATTTATTAGCAATTCTATGAAATGGTCAAAGGCCTTTGCTTTTATTGACACCCTGCTTTTTAGGGTGTCATCTGTTGTTGAGTGTAGGAACAAGATAAGGATTATTCTCTTGTTAAATTGTGTGGGAATTAGAAATGTCATGTTCTTATCTATTCATCTATTCATTTACTCATTTATGTATTTATCTTTAGGGAGCGGAGCAACGGCTGTGGTCCAGGCAGCGTACTGTGCCCCTAAAAAGGAGAAAGTGGCAATCAAACGGATAAACCTTGAGAAATGTCAGACTAGCATGGATGAACTCCTGGTATGCACATCTCCTATTTATTACTTGGAGAAATACACTTCTATGTATATTCGTTTTGGAGTGAAAAATAACCAGAAATTTTTTTATTGCTTTTCTAAAAAAAAAGGTTAAGTAATGTTTTTTGTAAATTTGTAAAATAAGTAAAATATTATAAATTAAGTACTGTTTATTGTAAAATTTATAAAAATCCAGGGAAACAAAAAAATTAGTTGTAATCCTCTCATTCTGAGATTAATACTTGCTATATAGTTTTTTAGACTGTGTACATTTAAATATCTTTGTATTTTTATGATAATGTAGCCATCTACTTGTTCTTTTCATTGAAAATTTAATCAAATTTTTCTGTGTCTATATGTATGAATTAAAATGCTTTTCAGTATGTGTGTGCTTTTCCATTATGTAGGTAGACCACATTTTATTTAACCTATTTCTGGTATTGGACAATTTTTTTCTCTTTTTTATTGTTATAAACCTTGCTTCCTTACTCGTCTCTTTCCTTAAACTAGTATCATGCTGGTATCATGCAGTTATGATACCTGGGTTGAGTGGAATATGCTTGAAAAGGCTTTGGCCTCCCAGGAACATGGTACCAGTCTGCATTCTGACCATTGATGCAAAGTGAGAGGCAGAATGACCCCCAACCAGCATTGCCTTCTCCAAAGGCTGGGGAAAAAGAGAGGAAAGGGAGACTCAAGGATTAGTAGCTACAAGAGATGTTCTGTGGCATTAAAAGCTAGTCACACAGAGATTGTTTTGTACTTCTTTTATGAGCCCTGACACCCAGAGCTGTGGGTGTGTAGTCAGTTTCAGCAATAAGACATGAGGTAGATTTTCAAATCATTTCACTTTGTAAATCCTCAGTTTCTTTGGCTTAAAATGGAAATAATAATATCTGTTTTGTGTACTTCATGAGGTTTTTCTTGAGGATCAAATGACCCAGTACCTGAAAACTATAAACTGCCATGCAAATGTGAACTAATATTTGTCTAAGTATTTCTTAAGTATTTGTCTAAGATCATGTGCAGTTAGTGATAGAAAGGCAGGAGTTAGGCCTGGGATGATCTGCCAGTCCAGAAGTCTTTCCACTCCCAGACTGGATTTAATTTCTGGTGTAACCTGCACTGAGTATTAGGGAAGACTGGAATAAAAGGAAAAGGGATAATAGAATTACACATTGAACTTTCAGCAGAGGAAACAGATGCATTTCTTTAGGAGTTGGTAATGTATGAGCAGAAGCTGAAAAAGAAAGTTTCTGGTATGATCTTGAGCCTCTCTGGTGAGAGAACATATACTTCAAGGGAGATGCTGCTGGAAATCCTACACAGTGATCTTGGATTTACGGATGTCCGCAACCCCTTAGAGCATCATTTGGATATTGAACTGCAGTGATCATACAAAAAGGCTATAAATCGTAAACTAATTCTTTTGAGGAAACACAATTTTTTTTTTTAATGTTAATTTTTGAGAGAGAGAGAGAGAGAGAGAGATAGCACCTGTGAGGGGCAGAGAGAGAGGGACAAAGGATCTGAAATGGGCTCTGACAGTGGAAAGCCTGATGCGGGACTCAAACTTACAAACTGTGACATCATGACCCGAGCTAACATCAGACAGTTAGCTGACTGAACCACGCAGGTGCCCCTTGAGGAGAAACAAAATTTTTTTTTTAAAAAAATTTTTTTTTCAACGTTTATTCATTTTTGGGACAGAGAGAGACAGAGCATGAACGGGGGAGGGGCAGAGAGAGAGGGAGACACAGAATCGGAAACAGGCTCCAGGCTCTGAGCCATCAGCCCAGAGCCCGACGCGGGGCTCGAACTCCCGGACCGCGAGATCGTGACCTGGTTGAAGTCGGACGCTTAACCGACTGCGCCACCCAGGCGCCCCTGAGAAACAAAATTTTTAACCTATATAATTAAGACTGGAATTTGAGAAGCCCAGTATGAATTTGTATCATTTGTCAGTTACTTTACATAACCCTTAAGGAGAGCTTACAGGTGAATGAAAGTCTTATTATTTATTACTTTATGATTAAAGAAATGAAAGTTCAAAGTTTAAATAACTTGACTGTGTTCATATGACCATAATAGCAAACATCTTTTCAGTGATAGGCACTTAAGTGTACTTTACCCTCCTAAATGCCTCCCATGAGACAGGTAGTAGCTACATTTTAGATGAAGGAAGTAAATCCTACGATAAGTGACAGGGTCCGGATTAAAAATCAGGTCTTTCTGAGTCAGGTCTATCGTTTTCTACTTCACATAATGCTAACTAATTATAATCTTGCTTCAAAAGTAGAACATCTGTTCTCAGATGTTTGACATCTTGAAAGAAATATTTGTGTATTAATACTAGGGCCTTACTTGTAGAGGAATGCGTGTTTGGCATACCTTGGTAAAAGAAATAGGTTAGCTTTTTCGCCATGGGTTTGCCTCCAGAACACACGTGTTGTGAAAACCACCACTTGAACCTAAACCAAAATGGGAAAAGACTCATATCAACATCGTCGTCATTGGACACGTAGGTTCGGGCAAGTCTACCGCTACTGGTCATCTGATCTACAAATGTGGTGGGATTGACAAAAGAACTATCAAAAAATTTGAGAAGGAGGCTGCTGAGATGGGAAAGGGCTCCTTCAGGTATACCTGGGTCTTGGAGAAACAAAGCCAAACGTGAATGTGGTGTCACCATTGGTATCTCCCTGGGGAAATTTGAGACCAGCAAGTTCTACATGACCATCATTGATGCCCCGGGACTCAGAGACTTTATCAAAAATATGATTACAGGCACCTCTCAGGCGAATTTGAAGCAGGTATCTCCAAGAAGGGGCAGACCCGTGAGCATGCCCTTCTGGCTTACACACGGGGTGTAAAACAACTTATTGTCGGTGTAACAAAACGGATTCCACTGAGCCCCCCTACAGCCAGAAGAGATAACGAGGAAATCGTTAAGGAAGTCAGTGGCTACATGAAGGAAATTGGCTACAGCCCCGACACCGTAGCATTGGTGCCAATTTCTGGTCGGAATGGTGACGGCATGCAGGAACCAAGTGCTAACATGCCATTGGTTCAAGGGATGGAAAGTTAAGTGTAGAGTGGCAATGCCAGTGGAACCACGCTGCTTGGAGCTCTGGATTGCGTTCTGCCACCTGCTCGTCCAACTGACAAGCCCTTGCGTCTGCCCCTCCAGGATGTCTACAAAATTGGTGGTATTGGTACTGTCCCTGTGGGTCGAGTGGAGACCGGTGTCCTTAAGGCAGGCCTGATGGTCACTTTTTCTCCAGTCAATGTTACAACTGAAGTAAAGTCTGTTGAAATGCACCATGAAGCTTTGAGTGAGGCTCTTCCTGGGGACAACGTGGGCCTCAGTGTCAAGAACATATGTGTCAAAGATGTTCGTCGTGGCAGTGTGGCTGGTGACAGCAAAAATGACCCACCAATGGAAGCAGCCGGCCTCCCAGCTCTGGTGATTATCCTGAACCATCCAGGCCAGGTCAGTGCCGGATATGCACCTGTGCTGGACTGTCACACAGCTCACATCGCCCGCAAGTTCGCTGAGCTGAAGGAGAAGATGGACCGTCATTCTGGAAAAAAGCTGGGAGATGGTCCTGAGTTCTTGAAATCTGGTGACGCTGCCATCGTTGATATGGTTCCTGGCACGCCCATGGGTGTCGAGAGCTTCTCTGACCTCCTCTGGGCTGTTCGCTGTTGGTGACATGAGACAGACAGTTGCTGGGGGTGTCATCAAAGCGGTGGACAAGAAGGCAGCTGGAGCTGGCAGAGTCACCAAGTCTTCCAGAAAGCTCAGAAGGCTAAATGAATATTATCCCCAATACCTGCCACCCCAGTCTTAATCAGTGGTGGAAGAACGGTCTCAAAACTGTTTGTATCCGTTGGCCATTTAAGTTGAATAGTAAACGACTGGTTAATGACAGCAATGCATCGTAAAACCTTCAGAAGGAAAGGAGAATGTTTTGTGGACCATTTGTTTTTTGTGTGTGTGGCAGTTTTAAGTTACTAGTTTTTAAAATCAGTACTTTTTAATGGAAACAATTTGGCCAAAAACCTGTCACAGAATTTTGAGACCCACTAAAACGAAAGTTTAATGAGAAAAAAAAAAAAAAAAAAAGAAATAGGTTAGATCTCCATCATTTTGCCCACCTACTCCAATAAGCTTTAGATTGCAAATATAGTATTTATATATTTGACAAATAAGTGAAGGGAGGAGGAGAGTGACTTGTAGTAAAGCACATTTAAGATAATTGGCTTTTTGGGGGCGCAAACAAGTAAGGTCCCACCAAAGCCTGAAGAAACATCAGGAATATAAAGAATGTTGGATTTATGTGTGGTATTTGTAGGGTCAGGAGCTGAGATCTGAGTGAGAAGGGCTCTGTTTCTGAGAGTCGAGAAGCCCTTTAAGTTTATCTTAAAAATCTTTTAGATCAACATACCAAACTTTTAGTGTTGTGATTTTTAATTTTTTTTTTTCAAAATTCTCTTTACAATAACGTAGAAAGGGTGCTGACGCGAACCAGATTATAGGTGCGTATCCTGTGTGACAGTTATCAGTGAGGAGGCAGTATAGTGCTCCTTTCTTTTGTCAAAATGTTTTCTTGTCTGACAGCCTTTGCTAAGTGTGACTGGGAAATCAGCTGTCAAATTTTACTACATTTATTTTCTCCAGAGATATTATTCACAGGCACACTATGCAGTATTTTGAGCTTTTTCTCTTCTCTGGTGGATACTAGGACTAGATTCATTGGACAAACACTTGAGGGGAACATGAAGAGACTTAAAATGTCTTTCTATCTACTAGGAGGCTCACAATCCAGTTGAAGAGCTAAAACTCTTGGGATGCCTGGCTGGCTCAGTCGGTTAAGTGTCTGACTCTTGATCTCAGCACAGGTCTTGGTCATGAGTTCAAGTCCTGCGATGGGCTCCACCCTGGGCATGAAGCCTATTTGGGGGGAAAAAAAAATTTAAGACTCTTGTGTCCTATACAAG